CCGGCGCTCCTGGGGTTCCCGCCCGGCTCCAGGGAGGGGCCCGGCGGAGGCCGCCCACTGAGAGCCCCGAGCCCCCGGGCTTGCGCCCCCTAGTGAAGTTAGCCGGGAGGGCGCCAAGGTCTGGACGCAGGCCCCCCAAGAATCTGCAAGTTGAGAAACCCGGTTAAGGTGGCAGTGAGGAGGGGGTGGCGGAGTAGGGACGCGCCCAGGCGCGACGGCAGGGAGGTGGAAGTTGCAGGCCCAGGTCAGGGTATTTTCCTGGGGGTAGCTGAGGTTGGACGGTGTCAAGACTGAGGTACAAACAAGAGCGTGGTCAGTGGGTTCCCAGTGCTGGCCACTAGTCTGTCGGAGCCCAGGACTCTTCAAGGCCGCCCTGCTCCCCCTTCTCAAGGAAGCTATTCCCAGTCACTTTCCCCCAACTGCTCCTGCCTTGTGTTAGGGTCTAAGCTTTCTGTGAGTAGCCAGGCGACCGTGAACTCGTCATGGAGACTACACGGCGCCACTCCAAGTGCGGTCAGTGCACTATCACCTGGGGGTTTGGAAATAACGGTTCAGAGTGGAAATAACGGTTCAGAGCTACACCCCAGATTGGCAGTTCAGCAAGAGCCTCAGGTGTGCGCTCTGTCCACTAATACGGTCCAGAAGACCAGAGCAGGCCATGGGCTGTACCTGGCAAGGTGCGTTTTCTGAGCCACCTTCTGGACTCGATTCCGGACCTGAGATAACCCTCTACAAGAGAACTTTTCTTTAAAAGATTTATTTATGCATAAAAGAACTGGGGTGTAGGTCAGAAGTTCAGGGGTGAGAGGATTCCCCAGAGACGGAGTGGGGAGCAGAACAGGCAGATCTACTGCTGGGGGGAGCAGCAGGGAGACAGCAGAGGCCTGTGCACCATGTGGGTCAGGGTCAGCTCCCTAGCTGGGGATTCAAACATTCATGCTGCAGTGGCTGCAGATAGCTTATAGTGCTGAGACTTAAGGCCTTGTGCCGTCAGGCAGGACCCTCTAGTAGAAAGGAGGGGCAGACAGAGTCCAAGAATACTAAATTCGATTCTTTAAAGAGGCTGGCAGCGCTCAGCTCAGTGGGACTGTGCTCTATATATCTATTTCGGTGTCCCCAGAATGTGGTTCACTCATGTGTTAAATGAGCTAAGCAATACCCAAGATTACCTACTCCACAAGGGAGTTATGATTAAAAAAGAAAACACCCTGCTTACCTCTGCAATGTATCAGTGACTTCATTTCCATTATTTTGTATGGGAGTCAACCATCTTAAGGGATGAGAACCCTGCAAATGAAGAAGATGAAGTTCAGAGGACTCATAGACTGCTCCAAAATCACCTGGAGTAAGAGGAGGAACTCTGACCCATTTTCTTCCAGTTCTAGTTCCATCCCTGGGCGTGAGAATAAGATCAATCTCACTTGTATTCTGAAGTCAGAACGCTCAGTTCTGGTATTTCTAGGTCTAATCTCTGTGCTTCACTTTCCTCAAGGCTCCATAACGTACTCACCTCACAGGATAACGCTGTAACGGTTATGCCAGCGCTTAATCTTAGCAAGTGCTCAGGAAATGTTTACTGTTTTCCAGCTGTCCCCTTTCCCCTGCACACCTAGCCCCTTGAGCTTTAAGTTCGGGGGCACAGCACTGTCCCTTCCAGGGTCTCCCCTCTGATTTTCTTCCTCTCAGAGGCTTTCCAGTGACTGAGTGAGACATAGTTTATATTTTCCTCTGGGCGATCCTCAGTCTTGGGAGGGTTTTATTAGGTACTTTCCTGACCTGAACGTGGTTTATTTTGGACTTGTTGGGGAGGGGGGGTAGTGGAAGAGAGAGGGAGACAGAGAAACAGACAAGACCCAGAGACTCAGAGACTGCTGGGGAATTCGGAGCTGGGCGAAACAGCAGTCTCGAAGGGGATAAAAAAAACAAACAACAAAACTCAGTCAGGCCCTGAACGAGGGGGTGGCTGTGCGGACGTGTCTGCTGTTCCCCCTCCAGCCGCCAGGCGGCGCGCGCGAGGGCGCCCCGGAAGTCAGGCCCGAGCCTGCGCACGCGTCCTTCTTCCCGGTAGCCCTCACTTCCGTTGGGCGTTACATCGCGTGTGTCCCAGGCGGCTTCCCGTACGCGTCCGAATGTTGCCCGGGAACTAGGAGCCGGAGGAGCCCGCTCCGCGACTGCCGATTCCAGACGAGCCCTGGGCCGGCGAGATGTGCACCCTGGGGCTGTTCCCTCCGCCGCAGCCCAGGGGGCTAGTCACCCTGTACGAGCACAATAACGAATTGGTGACAGGCAGCAGCTACGAGAGTCCGCCTCCTGACTTCCGGGGCCAGGTGGCCGGGGCGAGGGGGGCGGGCACCTGCAGGCGGGGGCTGAGCCGCGGAGCCGGGCCCCGGGGCGGGGGCGGGCGACAGCTCGAGGCCCGCTGACTGGGAATAGCCCGACCCGGGGTGTATTTTAGGACGGGGGTGGGGGTGGGGGTGGAGGATGAGGGATGCGAAAGCGATGTGGTGCTGCAGAGGGAGTGGAGGGAGAGGGCGAATCCAGGGGGTGCGAGGGTGCAGGAGGATCAGGAAGATCGGGTGAGGCACAGTCTGGAGCTCTTCCTGCCGTGGCCTTCCTGGGAAGGAAAAGAAGAGAAACTGATTTTTACCGAGCGTTTGCTATGTGAGAAAGGCGCCGAGTACGTCCTCCGTAGTGTGAATGATGTAATCCCAGCGACCCTATGAGTTCTTATTCTAGTTTTACAGGTAAGGGAGCCAAGAGCGGGTTTTCATCCTCACAAGTGGTGTCTTTGTGGACATGGGCTAACAGGCCTCGGAGCCTCTCACCCGTAACCTAGCTATGGGCTGGAGATGGCAGGCCTTCAGCCAAGGTCACGGGGAGATGGTCACACCTCACTTTTGGGCTGCAGTGGATCAATCTTCCAGTCCTGAACCTGACGAAGGATCCTCTGAAGACCCCTGGGAGGCTGGACCATGGCACGAGAACTGCCTTCATCCATCACCGGGAGCAAGTGTGGAAGAGATGCATCAACGTTTGGTGAGGCCTGGCAAAGGGTGTGCTGGGCCGTGGTCTGCAGATCCTGGAGAAAATGAGCTTACAGGCCTCCGGCTGGTACACCGGGTTGGGGTGCAGCACCGGGTTGGGGTGCAGCACTGCAAGCCAGCTGTAGCCCCTTCAATGCGAGTTGGATCCCCAGTCCTGGAGCTGACCCACAGGGCACAGCAGCCCTCTCCTGTCTCCCGCTGCTCCCCTCAGCAGTGTGTTTCAGTGGAACTGCCTGTTCTGCTCCCCACTCTGTCTCTGGTGAATCTTCTCACTGCCCCTGCACCTCTGGCCTGTACCCCAGCTCTGTATGCAGAAATAGATAAATCTTAAAAAAAAAAAAAAAAGCCTGCTAGTTTAACACAACGCATGATATATAACTCTGCCTAGCAGGAGGCTAGGCAAAAAGGGTAGTAAGCTCATTTTTTTTTTTTTCCAAAGGTTTATCTATGCATGCATACAGAGCTGGGGTACAGGCCAGAGGTGCAGGGGTGGTGAGAGGATTCACCAGACAGAGTGGGGATCAGAACAGGCAGATGGACGTACACTGTTGAGGGGAGCAGTGGGCAGATCAGGAGGAGTCTGCTGTGCCATCTGGGTCACCTCCAGGGTGGGGATTGAAGTTGAGCTGAAGTGGTTGCTGCCAGCTTTGTAGTGCTGAGCTTTAACCTGTTGTACCACCAGGGAGGGCCCAACTTAGCAGTTCTGACTGGAGCTTAGGAGGCCTTGCTTTCTGATTTCATTATATGAACCTTTCCCCTGTACCCCCACATCGGTATTCTTGCTTTCTCAGCCTCTACCTGGAGCTCGGCAAGGCTAGATAGGAGGTTGCAGTAGATCATCTTGTAAGCCAGTCAGCCGCTTTGCACGTGCGAGAGTAAGCCATTATGCCTGCACTCAGGCTGTGCCACGTTGTCTTAGCCGTGTGACCGGGCCAGTTACTTAATCCCTGGGTCTCACAGTTCCCCATCTGTAAAAGGGATTCTACAAGGTTGCAGTGACAGTTTCATGGATGTAAAGCAGTGGAAAACAAGTTGTAGCTATTGTTACTGTTGTCGTGTGGGATGAATGTCCACACATCAGGTAGCTGGGTTCCAAAGGCACGTTCAGTTGTATTCTGTGCGCCAGACAGTCCTGAGTCACAGCTGCACATACCTGAGGTCCCCTCAGTGTGGGCGAGAATCCCGTTTTCCGTTGTGTGCTCTCAGCCGTGGCTGTCTGGTACAGAGCGGACACTTTAATCTCTTTTGAGTAAAGCTAAATGTCTAATTGTTGTCCAAGACGCTCACGCCCTGCCTCTCCGATGCCGTCTTCACCCTGTGCCATGCCTCCTTCCCGCTGGCTCCTGGGGTGGACCCCGATAAGCCTTCTCCATTGGGTCGTTCACTGTGACACACCCCCCCCAGCTGTCTACTCCGCACTTTCCACGCTCTGCATGTTCAAAATGGATCCTTCGTTTTCCTCTCCAGACCTGCTTCTTAGGTTTTTCCGTCTCAATGCCCCTGTCTCGTTCAGGAGCAAGTAGTTTGAGTGTAAGCTCGGGGCAGACAGGTGAACCCTGAAGGCTCCTTCCTACCTAAGTCAGCCTGAGAGTACTGACTGGCCTCTGTAGCCTTGTTTCCCTTAAAAATGCAGATGACAGCAACACCTTACTCTGTAGGGCTGTGGTAAGGGTTCCCTGCCCCGGCACGGCCGGGTATGCCGGAAGCAGTGTGTTCGCTGCCCCCCTTACCACCTAGGCGTTTCCATGGACACTGACCAGTCCTCAAAGCCTATTCGCTGCACTTCCCACCCTCCCACCTGTCTGCCCTTATTAGCCGTGGTCAGGCCATGGTGGCCGTGTTCCTCGATTCTGCTGTAACCTTTTAACCCAGCTCCTGACCCTCCTTGTCCCCTCTATCCTGCAGCCAGACTCTCCTCCCTAAAATGCCAGCGTGGCCAGTTTCCTTCTCACATCCTCCCATGGCTTTGTATTTGTTGTCTGTGGTCAGTCTTGACTCCTTCCGTTGCCCCCCCACGTCCGAAGGGAACAATGAGCTTCAGTTCCCTCTCTGGTAAAATGGGCGCTGCTCTCCAGGTTAGTGTGGTAGTTGAGAGAGAACACGTCGCCCGCCCGCCCGCAGCATGCAGCCGTCTGCGTGAGTGCTCTTACTTTCACTACTTGTTTATTGAGTGAGTGCGGTTTACAGCCGGAGTCTGAGGGGTCGGAGTAATCTGACTCCAGCTTCCTCTCCTCCTCAGGCGGGATTTGGGCCTTTTTGGGGTGCTGAATGAAATTGCCAGCTCAGAGGAGGAGGGTAAGTAGTTTTCCGTAGTTGTATGGTTGGGAACTCCCTTGGTTCTCTGGCCTGGCCTTTCTGTCAGCCCAGTTGTCCCGACCCAGTCGTCTAGGTCGGTGCCATCTTCGCCTCTCACCCGAGAGTGGGTGTTCAGAGTGAAGTACCTAGAGCCTTGAGGGGCAGGCGGGCCTGGGGACCTGGGGGTGCGTGGGAGGGTGCCAGGGAGTGCACTGGGAGGGCTCACGGGGGCGCTTCCTCCATCCCGCAGTGTTCGAGTGGGTGAAGACGGCCTCCAGCTGGGCCCTGGCCCTCTGCCGGTGGGCCTCCTCCCTCCATGGGTCGCTGTTCCCCCACCTGTCTGTAAGTGTGGCTCCCCCTCCCTTCTTACCCCTGGGGCGGCTGGGCGCCCTCAGAGGGTGGTAAGTGCCCTTTGCCCCCCGCGCAGCCCCTCTATCCGCTGCTTTGTTCTCTCAGCTCAGGAGTGAAGATCTGATTGCTGAATTTGCCCAGGTCACAAATTGGTGAGTGCATTGCTCCGGGGCTTTGTGGGAATGAACTTCCTAACCTCTGGGTGTCAGAAGTCAGGGCAGTAACTACTCCCACTTTGCCTCACTGCTCCCACATTCTCTTACCTCCCAAGGGGAATTGAAATAAAATAAAAAAGCCGGGAACGGCTCGGCGAGCCTGGGTGGGCGTCTGGGCGTTGTGGCCGCCTGCAGGTTTGGACTCTTCACTTCTCCTGCCAGGTCCAGCTGCTGCCTGCGGGTCTTCGCGTGGCACCCCCACACCAACAAGTTCGCGGTGGCCCTGTTGGATGACTCGATCCGCGTGTATAACGCTAACAGGTTTGTGGGGGCCGGCCGGGTGAGCACACCAGCCCTGCCCCCCCCAGCCTGCCCCCGGGGCGTCCTGCAGCTTCTTCCAGGGCCGGCCGGCGCCTCCCCTCTGCCCGGTCCTCCCCCTAGATCCGCCTCCATTCCGTGCCTGCGCTGGGGTGTCTGGGCAGCTGCTCTTCCCGCCGCAGCGGCACACGGGTCCCTGCTTTGCCTCAGCCCCTGCCCTCTCACCCCAGCACTATAGTCCCCTCCCTGAAGCACCGCCTGCAGCGGAATGTGGCTGCTCTCGCCTGGAAGCCCCTCAGCGCCTCTGTCTTGGCTGTGGCCTGTCAGAGCTGCATCCTCATCTGGACGCTGGACCCCACCTCCCTGTCCACCCGGTGAGTCCAGCAACCACTGACTTACTTTCATGGGGCAATTTGTATCATTTTTGTCTCATGGTATTTTTTTAAAATCAGAGGTTTTTATTTATGCATACAAGAACTGGGGCCAGAGGTGTGGGGGTTTGAGCACTCACCAGAGACAGAGTGGGGAGAAATACACTGCTGGGGGAGCAGCGGGCGGGTCAGGAAAGGTCACTCTGTGGCCGGGATCCCCCCCGTGGGTCCCTCCCTGGCCAGGGATGGAACTCGTGCTGCAGTGGCTGCAGACAGCTGCGCCACCAGGGAAGCCCCTTCCTTTTTTGAAACTTCCACAATCCTTACGGAGTTCCTGCAACCTGGGGACTGGGCGGGCCGTTGCCTTTGAGGTTTTAGGAGGAGAAGGAAAGAGCCCCCGGAGGCTTCTGACGCCGCTCCGTTTCCCGGCAGGCCCTCTTCCGGCTGTGCCCAAGTGCTCTCACACCCCGGGCATGCGCCTGTCACCAGCTTGGCCTGGGCGCCCAGTGGGGGGCGGCTGCTCTCAGCATCACCCGTGGATGCCGCTATCCTGGTGAGTTGTCCCAGCGCCCCTTAGCTGTCATCTCAGCCATCCGTGAGGAGAGCACGCCTCCACCATCTGGGTGGAAAATATCCGGGGGCCATTTCCTGTCCGCTCTTAGCCTTACCCAGGCGGGCGCTGCCCCAGCCTGGAACATTCTGCCCACCGTACTTACCAATGTAGACCCATTCCCACTTCTCCCCATTGTCTCTTCGTGCCTTAGAGAAGGGCAGCCCCGTGAGGAGACAGGTGCCCGAGCTTCCTGTCTCCTTCTGCTCCCAATCTCCAGGTGTGGGATGTCTCAACAGAGACCTGTGTGCCCCTTCCCTGGTTTCGGGGAGGTGGGGTCACCAACCTGCTCTGGTCCCCAGATGGCAGCAAAGTCCTGGCTACCACACCCTCAGCTGTCTTCCGGTGAGTGGGAGGAGGGAGAGGAAGGGCAGCAAGGCCCGGGAGGGGGCACTTGGCTCCTGGGATGGGCAGAGGGGGGTTCAGTTGAGGTTTTCCGACACAGTGGCCTAAGCTGTGATTTCTCTGGTAGAGTCTGGGAGGCCCAGATGTGGACATGTGAGCGGTGGCCTACTCTGTCAGGGCGCTGCCAGGTGAGAGGCTGAGACTGAGACTGGGGAAGGCGCACTCGTGATGCCCTGGGCTTCCCGCCCGCTCCCGCGTTAGACCCGTGCCTTCTGCTTTCTGACTCCAGACCGGCTGCTGGAGCCCAGATGGAAACCGATTACTCTTCACCGTGCTGGGGGAGCCGCTGGTTTACTCTGTGTCATTCCCAGAACGCTGTGGTGAGTCTGGGGAAACACTTCTGGCCACAGAAAATGTGGGGGCTGTCAGAGAGAGGCAGGGGATCAGCTTGAGGGCCTTTTCCTGTGCCAACTGCACTCGCCCACCCCCAGGTGAGGGACAGGGGCGCGTCGGAGGTGCCAAGTCTGCAACCATAGTCGCCGATCTATCCGAGACAACAATACAGACCCCAGACGGAGAGGAGAGGTGAGCAGGTGGGCGCGGGAGGAGCAGCGAGCGGACGGCCCGAGCCCTCCCAACCCACCGTCTGCCACAGGCTTGGGGGAGAAGCGCACTCCATGGTCTGGGACCCCAGCGGGGAGCGCCTGGCTGTGCTCATGAAAGGTAAGCGAGAGGGACTCGGGGCACGGCCAGCTCCCACTGTGTCCCTCAGCCGCGCTTCTTCCTCCCTGGAGTTTGCCTCGGCTTCGGCTTCCTCCTCCCCCGGCTCCGTCTCTTACAGGAAACCCACGGGTCCAGGACGGCAACCCAGTCATCCTGCTCTTTCGCACTCGCAACAGCCCAGTATTTGAGTTGCTGCCTTGGTAAGCGCGGGCGGCCGGCGGCCTGGATTCTCCCCGGCCGCCCCATACCAGCCACCCCCAGCCCCGCCCGCCTCCGACCACCCTTTCTTCCTAGTGGCATCATCCAGGGAGAGCCGGGAGCCCAGGCCCAGCTCATCACTTTCCACCCTTCCTTCAGCAAAGGGGCTCTGCTCAGTGTGGTGAGGAGACCAGGTTGCGGGGGCTTCAGGGAGTGGGGTGCGGGTGTCCGGCCCAGGCTCTCTGTAGACTTTCCTTCCCCCTCCGCAGTGCTGGTCCACAGGCCGGATCGCCCACATTCCTCTCTACTTTGTCAACGCCCAATTTCCACGTTTTAGTCCAGTGCTGGGCAGAACCCAGGAGCCCCCGGCGGGGGGCGGAGGTTCCACCCATGACCTGCCCCTCTTTACGGAGACGTCACCCACCTCCGCCCCTTGGGACCCTCTGCCGGCGCCTGCTCTGTGCCACTCCCCCCGCCCCCACTTCTAATAATAGTAAATTCTGTGTGTGTTCCGTTTAATTAGCAGATTTACTTTTCCTGGGAGTCGAATGGGGGTATAGCGGGGACAGGTAAAAAATGACATAGTCTGGGTACAGATACTGCCGCTTTGTAGCCACTTCTGTGAATTGGGCCCAGTTACTTCACCTCAGGAACTGTAGTTCCCAATATGCTTGGAAAGCAGAGCTGAGGGAAGTCCCTAGCAGAGGCTGAGGAACATCACAGGGGTCTTGTGGCCACATTTAGCAATTTCCCGTTGTGGTGCAGGCAATCAAGGGCAAGAACTTGTCAGTGTGAGTTTTATTGGCTTAGGAGACGTGTGGAGGGCCTGGGCGCTGGGCCAAGGTGGCTCGGGCCATGCTCAGGGCACCCTCTCGGGTGTGGTGCCCACCAATAAAGCCGCTGGCATGGACAAAGACACAGCCAGGAATCCCACTGACCTGGTCCAGCGCTTCATCCCGAAGGCCTCGCCACGGCTCTGGCAGGGGCAGCCTGCAGGAAGCACAGGGGTTGCTAGTGGGAGCAGGCGAGGCCTGAGGAGCCAAGAGGGAGTGGCCGAGGCCCAGGTGTGTGCCCCACCCCACAGGTCCGGGGTCCGCAGGGTGCTCACCGGCTCTGGAATGAGTGGGGCTCCTTGGGCACACACTGCACTCGCCACTGTCCGGCCTGGTCGCTGTAGACAACAAAGGCAATGGCGACTGGGGGCGACAGCTTGGATTCCAGGTGGTAGAGGTGCTCCTTCCAGGGGCACTCGCCCTTTGCCAGCTCCACGATCTCCCCACTCGCGTCGACCTAAAAGGAAAGCGGGGCACAGTCAGAAGCCGAGGGGGCGGAAGCAGCCCCGGGGCAGCAGTGGCGACGCGCCCTGGGCCCCACCTGGAAGCGCTGCGCCAGGGCCTCCTGCACCAGGTCCTGGGCTGGCAGCCAGCTGTGCTGGTAGAAGTCCAGTCTCTGCAGAAACTCCTCTTGAACCAGGTCCATCGCACACTTGAACTTGGCCTGGGGGTCACAACCACGGCGCTGGCTCAGACTGGCGACCGCTGGGGTTGGTGGGGAGGCAACTCCCCCCGCCTCGCCGGAGCCCTCACCTCGGGGTCCTGGTCCGGCTGGTTCCAGGCGGGGTTTAGCCGGGCCACTCGGGCGCTCAAGGTGGTGGTCAGCGCGTACCGAGGCTCTCCCTCCTCCCACTGGGAGATGCCGTTGTCCACTGCGTCCACTTCCTCCACGAAGTTCTCGTACATCTAGGGCCGCAGCAGGGGAAACGCTCCTGACGGACCTCCGCTGGCCTCAATTGTGAGAGCTCCTCAAGTGCGCACCGCGCCTGCATGTGCTCTACAGCCGCGCCGGGAGGGTCAACGCAGCGGGGGGCACGGAACGTGGGGGGGGGGGCACCAACGCCCAGGTTCTGTGGCTCAAGCAGAGATCGGCTGGTTTCTCACCCAGGGCCACTCTGCTGGTGCACAAAGCCCAAGCCCGCATTCCTGGGCGGGGGGAGGGTCCACCGCAGATGGGCCAGGTTGGCTATTCTGCGGGCTAGTTAACAAGGTACAGGAGGGTCTGGCTGACGTGCGAGGGGGGCGGGGGGGGGCACCGGGACTTGGGCCCAGGGAAGCCCACCATGTGCCGTTGCAACGGCAGCTGCATCTCCTGAACCTCAGGAATCACAGCACAGGACAAGACCTCACGAGTTTGGGGCAAGCGCAATACGGGGTGTCAGTGTTGAATGCAAATGTCGCCCGACAGAATAAGCCACACACCAACCTCCAGAACGCAGCACAGGGGCGACTCTCAGGGCGAGCCAGAGGACACCCCTAGCTCGGCACCTCGTGGGCCGGACCCTACCCCGACGCCCTGTCAGAACGCGGGCATAAGCCGGCCCTTGCTCAGGACCACTCCGCCGCAGAGGGCAGTTTAAAGCCTTGCTGTTCCCAAACCCCAATTCAGCGATGCTGCTTCACTGCATCACGCCAATGTGTTACGGGGGCAGAGCACAGCCAGAGACCTGAACTCAAGTCTACACCCCAGAAAAACTGAGTCTGCGTTTGGACTTCTGACCTTCCAGGGGCTGGGTCAAGGAGTCACGGACCCAACGTGCACCCCAGGGCCATCAGCCCTGCTCCTTCGACAGCGCCTGCTGGGCTGCTCACACAGGGGCGCTGGTGGGACCCGAAGATGCTCCCAGCCCCTCCCCCACGCGTGTGCCCAGAGTCATGATTCCAAACAAGCAGCGTCGATCAGCAAGCTGCTGACTAGCCATTTCTTATGTGTCTGCTGGGAAACACCACTTTCTGGTTTCAAAGCCCTTCGCCAAGTAATACATCTACTCTTGCGTCTACCCCAGGAGAGTGCAACAAGCCCCGGGACGGGCCTGACAGGAGAGGCATTGGGCTGGCTAGGTCAGGAAGCCCGCCTGGGCGCTGCGGAGTCCCGTCCTGGGCTGGCCTGGGAGAGATGCATGCGTGGGGCCCCACCTTGTCATAGAGGGTGCCCACTACGCTGTCCTCTTCACTAGTGCCCAGCAACTGGGCCAGCAGCTTGTGCCCGAAGTGTAGATAGATGAGTCCCGCACTGCTCAGCTTGGTCCGCCACGGCTTCCCGGGGGCCAGGGAGCTCATGGTCTCTGAGAAAGACCTAAGGGGCACAGGGAGGGGCTGAGGGAGGGACCTGGCCAGTTATGCAGCGTGCACATGGGCAGGCTCAGGGCTGTGCGGAGGCTGGGGCACTGCAGGGGTCCCTTGGGGCTCAACATGGGCCTTAACTTGGAGTCTCCATTAGTGGGGGGGTCACTCAGTGCTTGTTACATACCAGGCTTCCTGCTTTAGACATTAAGAATTAAGAGAAAACAAAAACAAAACCGCAAACACAGAACAACACAAATGCCCTAGCTATAACATGGAAAAGTGGGGAGGAAGAAAGGCTTCAGGTTATTCCTGGAGCTGAGGTGATTTATTAAAGTTGCTGGACAAAAGGCATTCTGGGTAAAGGGAACAACATGTACGATGGCTAAGAGGCGGGCTCTTCATGGACCTCCAAGAAAGATGTGACGAGAGGTAAAGGTAAGTCCCACAGGTAAAGTGGGGAGACAGGCCTGTAAGCAGACAAGTGTGTACCAAAGTGCACGTGCAGCCGCCACAGATGCAAGGAAACCGGTCACCTGCAGGGACCAGGTGAATGAGGGAGGCAGGATTTTCAACACAGTGGCACAGAGACTAGACAAAAGTGTGGCAGGTGTTAGGTAAGAAAAAACTAAAGCTGTAATTTCTAAAAGCAGTCCATCAGCATCACTTAAGGAATTTGTGTTTTGATGATTTTTGTGATTGACATAAAAGCCTGGGTTAGGACACAGCACTACAAGCTGGCTGCAGCTGCTCTGACGTGAGTTCAACCCCTGGCTCCGGAGGGACCCACATGGCGCAGCATGTCTCTCCTGACCCGCCTGCTGCTCCCCTCAGCAGTGTACTTTGTCAGTCGGCCTGTTCTGCTCCCCACTGTCTCTAGTGAATGCTCTCATCTCTTGCACCTCTGGCCTGTACCCCAGCTCTTATATGCATAATAAGTCTTTAAAGAAAGAAAATAATATGTATACTTAAGCAAAAAGAATGCCAGAGGATGGAAAGAGCAATACTTAAGAGGCCTAAAACAAAGCAGCATCCTCACCCTTCAGAGATAAGCACTTTCAACAGTGGTGCATGAAGGAAAGTTTTGCATTTTATACACGCCACGCACAGAGCTTGAGTGTGTAGGCAGAAGGAAGTAGAAACACTAGCAGGAAAGTTGTGATGTGAAATCCCAGGGGAGAAACTGGCCGATGGGAAAACTAGAAGACCAGTTGCTTCCTGAGCTGGCAGGAGCAGAGGCAGTTTCCTCGGAACAGTCAGCAGGAGGTTACCACAGAGGGGATGTGATTTAGCAGGCCCTGGGGACAGGGGGAAGGGCTCGGTAGCCCTGTGGATTAGGGGGCACCCTGGAAAAAAAGGCTCTCCCAATGGGAGAGTACATGAAGTAGAAGACACGTGTGGCAGCGACCCGCCGTCCAGCAGCCTAAGGGCACGTGACTGGCTGACGCCAGCTGGGGTGTCAGTTGGGGTGATGCCCGTACTGGTGGGAGAAACGCCAGCCTGAGCCACAGCGGGAGGTGCGGTGGGAGGGGGGCGAGGAGGGCCAAGGCCGGGTAGACGGGCGCCTACACCCAGCCCGACGGGGGCCCGGGGCTGCTCTCCAGGCTGCGCGTTCCCCGGGC